GGGTGAGAACAAAGTATATTGGACTTTATCTGAAAAGTGGTCCCGACAGGAGAATCAAGTTCTACATAAAGAAATCACATTGTTACTACCGCACTCTTATCTAGAGAATGTTGCTCCAGCTGTGAAAAAACCTTGTCACTATTATGAAAGCCCCTGAAAGTCTCTACTCTGCTGTTTTCAAAATAAGGGAGAAGAGAAAGAGCTAGGGAAAAATAAATAAATAAATGAAGGGGTTTGTTACTTTAGGCTCATAAAAATCAGAAGCAAAGATTGTGTAAGGAGGGTAGATACTAATTAATTTGAAATTTTCAAAACAAATTTTCTGAAGCAGTTAGCTAATTCAATACTTTAAGGAGTCCTGTCTTTTTTTCTTTCTGGCTACAAACACTTAGGTGAATTTTCCCATGTCCTTCTCATACCTGGATTTCTTCTGCCTCATTCCTCTTTCATTTTTTAAAAAAATGTTTTATTTATTTATTCATGAGAGTCAGAGAGCGAGAGAGACAGAGAGAGAAGCAGAGGGAGAAGCAGGCTCCCCGCCTAGCAGGGAGCCCGATGCGGAACTCGATCCCAGGACCTTTGGATCATGACCTGAGCCGAAGGCAGATGCTTAACCATCTGAGCACCCAGGGGCCCCTGCCTCGTCCCTCTTTCAAAACCATCCTTTAGGAAACCTCCTCTGATTAATCTGATTTAAGCAAATAAACAAGGCATGTAATATATTAATATAAACTTCTTGAGATTATCACCAGGATCTTCACATCATATGTGGGTACACTGAATTGAATCAAAGTTAAGCTTCAAAAGCAGGAGTTTTTTACATATCGTAACATAATCATTACCCAATACTTAACACTCGATACTTAACACTCAATAAATGTTTTTTGAAATAAACATTTTTTTTTTTGTTAATCTTCCTCAAGAAACTAGTATTTTTTTTTTCTTTTACACAAGGTCTATCAATAAGAGATTGGTTAAAGAAAAAAAAAGCAAAACAAAACAAGTTGAGAGAATCCAGGCCTTTTCAATCTTAGTCATATTTTTGAAAATGGTGATTTGATTTCACCACCTCAATTCATCAGAGCCTGTCTATACGTTACAATGGTCTGTATTTCCTATTGCTACTGGATGAAAATGAATCCATATAAACCATACCAACGCCATTATGTATAACTGGTGGTAAAACTTTATTATTCAAGTTTAGATGTAACAGACATCTTTGCTGCCTGAAGATTGTTTGCATAAGAAATACACCAAGAACATGTTTGTGAGTAGAAATGAACATGCACTATGAAAACAAAATTAAATAAAACAAAAAAAATATTCCATGTGTTGTAAGAACAGAACTATTATAGCCAACATTCTAATATTCAAATCAGGACTACAAATTGAATATTTTCTTAGCAACATGAAATCATTCCATATGAAAGACATTTTCTGCTGGTGAATATTGCTGTAAGTTAATTTTACATTGGCATTTTGAGATGTTTCACAACCCCATCCCACCCCCCAATTATCCACGTTGTCAAATAGCCCACCCTAAGGAATTTGGCATTTCTTATTGTGATATTTGCCTTGCTGGTAGCCATTAAGAAACTATCGTTTTATCAGCCTTGTAATAGTTTTGCCTCTTCATAGTCAACACTATAGGCTGTCTAGTATGATATTTACAGCTCATCTTTAACAAAAATGACCCCAACCTTTCCTGGCCCTTGGGAACTGAGAGTTTAAATAAGCCCCTTGGCCATATAATAATACTTGGCACTCCCATGGTGCCTTTCAACCAAGGATCTCAAAGTGCTTTACAAAACAAGTACTACATTACCATTATTATTATTATTATTATTATTATTAATATATTTTTTCCATTTTACAGGTGAGGAACCTGAGGAATGAAAAGAAAAAGTGATTTACTGCAGGTCATAAAATGAAAAACAACCAGGGGTAGAATCAGGATCCAGTTTTGGGACTTATGGTTCTTGAAGGACCATCTTCTCTGATGAAGGCTAAACGTTACTTCCACGTAAAGTTACTCTTGCTTTTCTCTGGTGTAGGACGGAGTGAGGCTTACAGCTGTACCTTTCCTTTCAAGAGAACAACAAATGAGCATACATTATCCGGTTTCCATGTGTGGATCAATGTTGAATTTCACATTTTCTTCATCCCTGACTTCACACACTTCTGCCCTAGCATCTTCCAGAGGTCGTAATTACTGCAAATAGTTGTGGACAATTTCTAAACAATTGTACCACTATCAGGAACGTGTCAATCAGCTGTCCATGACACAGCGATGGAAAACCAAAAGGAAGTGTTCTCCAAAGAAGCCATCCCTCTGTCCTTGGCTGGGTCTTTCTTTGGGGAAAAAAAACACAGACCTTCAAAGTCCCAATGCATGTCTTTCTATCCTCTTCTCATTTACGGCTGCCTACTGATAGAATTCCACCTAATAGTACCTACCTTTGGTTAGCATATTTAGTTTCATATTCTGGTTGAATTTCAAATCCACCATTTTCTCCTGTGATCTAGGGACGGCCAGCAAGCTCTCACCTACTTGCTTACCAAAGATGCCTTGTATTTTTTTTTTCTGTTTTTTTGCCATGACCCTCAACCCAAAGACTGTGACCTCATGTAAACTTTAGGTAAAAGGCTGGCATACAGCACAGGAGCTGACCACCAGCTTCTTTCCTCCATGCTTCTACCACCGGATGACAGATAATCTCCACTCTGGAATTGCGGTTAATGTTCACTAACTAAACAGGCAGGCAGTTCAGAGGTCTCAGGACGGGTCACCTTGTGATGTTTTGCAGCCACACAGCAGAAGGCTAATAAGTATTTTAAGAGCAGTATTGGTACTCTTCAATTTATTAAGAAAAATGTATATCCTCAGGCATTTAAAAATATACATACATTTAATATTTTTGGAGCTGTATCTGCATTGGATCATAATAGATTATGTGCACATGTGCAATCATAAACATAATGTGCTACCACAGGCTTCAACAAAGAGCTGTTAAAGATAATCACTTTTTTTTCTTCTTCTCATTAATATTACCTTAGAAAAGAATCCCCATGCTTGTTTTCTAAAATCTACCTTTACTAAAAGAGAACAGTTTAGAACAAAACATCACTATCTTAAAAGTTGATTTTTTAAAAGAACATCTCAATATGTCATGTAGAAAGAATGGGCACACTCTTTTCCTTTTGAACTACAGAGTTAACATGTTAAGGTTTAGAGCTCCATCCTTTCCTCATTCACTTAGAGTCCTGTAGTGTCGCTCAATCCACATCCTTCCAAGGTGGGCTGGCTCGTTATGATTTTTCTATCCCAAACAACAGTATGAACATATGGGTGAGAGAGGGAGAAAGAAAGAGTAAGAAAAGGAAGAATGAATGCATGAGCCGGTCCTGACCTAAAGTTTGACTCAAAGCTTGATTCAGAATAGAGACAAGTAATTTCAAAAGACTTACAGTTTTTCAATGGTATACAATTTTAGCTGGCATATAGTTTTCATCATAGGGGAAGCCTTTTCCAAGAGGGGAAATTCCTAAATCATCTTGAAAGTCCTTAAAAAAAAGGATAAGTACCTAAATAGCTCATTTAAAATCACAATTTAAGGCAAAATCATTCGGAAACCTTAAAGCCAGATAAAATAACAACAATTTTTATAATATATTTTGAGAGCTGGAACAAAGGCTTTTGTAGGTCAAAAAGTAAGGGGTATTTTAGTGTTACAATAAATTTTCATCTCTTAAGAAAAGCCCAACCTCTTCTCCATCAAAACATGTATAACAATGAAAACAAAAATGAAAATAAAATAATCAATAATAAAGGAATATGGAATAAGATCTATTGTGTCAATGCTACCCAAGAATATTCTACTGAAAGTAGACTGACCATAAATATTCCAAGAATAGTGATATGTATTTTCCAATGCTAATCGTTACTACTACATCTGTCTGAGAAAACAAAAATCAGATAAAAAAAAAAAAAAAGAAAAAAGAATACATGCCGAAAAGGAACAACCTATTTGTGTCTGACACACTGGAGAAATTGTTTATGGAGTAGTTTTGCCCAAAAAGTCATACCTGTAATATTGCCCAAGTTAACCAAACTTCTGGCATTTTGCTGATTTGAGCAGTTCATGTATAATGTTGCTTAAGGATTGCCACAGTGCACTTCGTTACTAGTCTTTTTACTAAGAAAATGAAATATTGTTTTGTTGTTTGGGACATCTCCTCTCTTTCTGAGATCTTTAACGGCCACCTCTCAAGTTTGCCTGTACATTCTGAGATGCATTCATCGAAATTCCTAAGAAAGATAAATCAGCATCACATAATTTGCATGTCAGAACTCCTCACACCACCTCTTTATTTCAGTTTATGTGAATAGAAGAGCTAGACAGGTGAGATCAGAATAGGGCCCTTTCAAAATGAAACTGAAGCTGAAGGCTTAGTCCTGATTTCTTTTTTCTCTCTTTCTCTCCTTTTTTTTTTTGTTTTTTTGTTTGTTTTTTGTTTTTGTTTTTTACATGAAAACAAAAATGCAAGAATGGAAATGACAACACATCAGAAAGACATTTTTAACTTCATTCACTACGACAGTCACAAACTGCTTGAACTCTACCTGCCATCCAACTTTAAGGAACAAAGACCTGGCACTGGGAAAAAGAAACAAAACCCAAACACAACAAAACAATACAAAGCAACTGGGAATTCGGTAAAACGGAGTGCAAACACGGCTACAGAACGCAATAAAAACACCAGTGCTGCGGGGGCCGGCAGCGCTTATCAAAATAATTTCTGAAATGTTTCATCCGAAACATAGACAAAGCAATAAAAAGAGGATATATGTTTATCACTTTAAGCATAACAATGTGAGTTAAGAGCTTAAAAATTAAAAAAAAAAAAAGAAGTACTTGGAATGAATAGTGCTACCCTTTTTTTTCCTAAGTAGGCATAAAAATATTTTCATTTCCTTCTTGTTTTCCATACCATTATATCAAGAACTTCCATTTGTTTCATGTTACCGTTTACAACTTTAATGCACACACACACACACAAAAAAGGTATCTACCGCAATAGAAATAGTTGCTTCATTACCTTGTTTGCTACATTTGCAAATGTAAACAGCTAGGCAGAGCCAGAACTGACTCTAATGCATGATGGAATATCTTTGTTGCATACGTACACTGTAGAAAATAATTATTCAATATGTCAGGCACCATTATTTGAAATGTAATACATTAATATTTACTAGAAAAATAAGTTTTTTTTTTCCTATTTGTTCTCCCAACTTCTTTAATGAAATAAGTTAATCTGACAGTGCATCCAGTAGCTTGTAATATCTTCTACATCTCCGTGGCAAAAAATAAACTACTGGTTGGGACAATATAATGCAAATTATTAAAGTCAGTCCTTGTACATACATCCTTGTAGCAAGCATTGAGGCTCGACTAACAGCACCTTTAACCAATTACTTAATGTTCAGTTATGTAGCCCTATTTCCCTGAGCAGTTATGCTGAGGAGCTTTCCCTTCATGGATAGTTTTACAAAGCCTTAAGTATTAAAAGTACTATGAAGATATACTTCTAAGAATCCTATTTAATGCTACTTAACTAAACCTGTATAAATCTAATGAAGGGAGTGACTGGTACATATACCAACTGTCAGTCTGTGGTAACGTAACCTTAGACGCTGCCTGGCCACAAAGTTTGGAACTTCTACTTAACCAAAAGAAAATAAATAATACAGCAGGTTACCTTGTGGAGAAATACCATGTATTCTAAACAAATTCAGCCCATGGTCTGAACTTTTGTATCCATCTAATCGTTTTGAACTGAGGGAGGGGAAATCCCTTTAGTTATAATGTGCCAAGTGAGATTGGTGACCAAGAGGAGGCTTAAAAGACAAATCCAAACCGCTTTATCACATACGAGAAAGAAACATCTGGCTAAAAAAAAAAAAAAAGACTACGTAAGCACTGAGGACACTGGTTTTTTTTTTTGTTTTTTTTTTAAATGCATCTATATTTGGACAAAATGAACCTAAATTGCAAACAAAAGGACTACTTTTGAAAGGAGTATTTGAACATCTAAAGGACAAAAATATCAGAGGGGTGTGCATGTGTATGTACAGGCAGGGCTGGCCAAAATCACCGCGCCCCTGGCTGTCGCTTTCCTTGCTGCTCTCTGCCCAAGCCTAACCACAGCTCGCATTTCTAGGTCTGGGAAACATGGTCAATGAGAGGAGACTGCTGTAAGAGGCGCCATTTTCCTTTCACTGCCCTGGAGATTTGATATCTCCTCATCTGCCCAGGATTTCGTGATACTTCTAACTTTAGGCAACAACTGCTGGGTTTATGAACAAATGGACCAATGGCCAGCCCAATACTGTGTTAGCATCATAATATGTAAACCCTTTCAAATTCTAGATAGCTTTGATCTCTTTCTTTACAAACAGAATAATGAGAGTCTGGTGATACTTCTTATGGACCATTTCCACCGTACACATTCGCCAAGATGGTTTTTTGACTTAACTAGGTTCTAAAACATGACTATTTACCATCTTCCTTTTTTTTTTTTCTTCTCACTGACCATTTGTCTCACTTTTTAATCTTGGTAACCTACTCATCAAAAGAAAGAATAAAAGAAGGGAATTTCATGTTGGATAAGGCAGGCTCTATGAAGGATTTTTTTAATAGGTCTTCATAAGACATTACAAGCTATTGAATTCCCATCAAGAAAACCTATTTCTATTTAATTGTGCTAAGTGCTAAGGTTTTACTCTTTAGGTTTTCCATTTTTTTCCACTTGTGCATTGTTCCTATGCAGGCCCCTCTGGATATGAGTTGTGAAGTCATATTTGTCCGTGCAAAGATGCTGGCATATGCTGCACTGGAAAGGTCCACTGTCACCATGGCAACTCATATGCAAAGCATACATCACTTCATCCAGAAAGACAATGCCACAGTGCACACATTTTGTTGAAAGTTCATCTTGAGTACTTCTATCAACTTTCTCTGTTTTTACTACATTCAAGGGACCTTCACTTTTTACATTTGATGGTGCCTTCGTTTTCTCCTTGGAGGCACCGTTTGCAGTTGGCCCAGGTCTGGAATGCTTGATCGCCAAATCTAGAGGAATGTCATTGTCTGATCCAACAGCTGAAAAATGAGGAGGCAGATTGAAGGTGGGATAAGGCACATAGTTTTGGCAAGGATTTGGTAGGCCAGGCACGTGACTCAAGTAGTGCGGATTCCCAGGGACGGAGAGCTTATATTTACTCCAGAACCGCAACCAATCAGCTTCACTCTGGAAGTCATTATGTACAAAGGGAAGTCCGAAAAGGGGGTACTGGTACTTTTCAATGGGGCTGCCTGGTGGTGAATAGTTCGGGTGTTTCGCAGGTCTCATGTACTTTTCTATGGGACTGCCTCTCTCAGAACTTCCTTTCCCTTCTGACACGGATGAACTGTTTCCTGGGTCTCCAGTACTTTCCTGAGGACTTTTTATCTGAATGTGCAAAGGTTGCATCCTTTTGTGAATATCCAGAGTTTGGCTGACCAGGACCGGCTGCTGAGCAGAATGGCTTTTAGTCAATGAACCCTGGGCTTCGTATTTACTCAGGCTAGGGAGCGGAATTTCTCTCTGGTGACCTTCAGTTAAATGATCTTCTGACCTCCTCTCTAAGGGGCTTCCATTGACCTGCTCCTCGCTGCCACCCCTCTGCTGTTTGTTGAGCTGCTCAGCCTGCAGTGCCTCTGGGTTAAGGCGCTTTCTTGTCCTTCTCCTAATAATCTGCTCACCGTTGTTTTGTTTAATGATGTTTAAAGGCCTGGGAGTCTGCAGAGAACACACGCATGATACATAAAAGGGAAACGTGAGAAAATACATTAAAATGCATTAACAATTCCTCACAAATATGAACCACGTTTAAGTTCAAAGCAAGGGTAGATGCTATGTTATAGGTTTACTAAATCTCCTCCTCCTGCCCTAAGCAGGATCAGAGGCAGTCACCAAAGCACACGATTTTAGCCTAATTAAATCATGTCCGACTTTTCAGGGAGGACTGAAAACTTTAATCTACTTAAAAACAGCTTTCCCAAACTCAATAGATTTTGGAACTGCATCATTTAGTGATAAAACTGTGTAGCAAGTTCCCTGAAGAAACATGATTTTTCTGCAGTGTTTCTCAACTTCTGAGTCATGCACTAGAATGTCAATACAGGAACACGGGAGCTAGGCTTTAACGACAACTGTGGTAAAATTGTACATTGCTACAGACTGAACTGGGTCCCCTCATTCATATGTGGAAGCTCTACCCCACAGTGTGGCTGGATCTGGAGATCCGGGCTTTAGGAGGCAAATAAAGTTAGAGGAGGACACAGAGAGAGGGAGGCATTCTCCAAGCCAGGAAGACAGCTCTCCATCCAGAACCTGGCCACACTGGTACTCTGACCTCACTGGTACTCTGACCTCGGACCTCCAGCCTTGAGAACTGTGTGAAAATCTGTTCCGTGGTTTAAACCCCCTAGTCTATGGTATTTTGTTATGGCAGCCTGAGCTGACGAATACATGCATTCTTCTAAATAACTGAAAATGTGAATATAAAGTATTAAATATCAGAGCATAAATAATCAAAGACAAATGAGCAGAATCATGAGGAAAGATATCAGGTAATCAAAGCCATATCAGTGGGAGACTTTTTTTTTTCACTTCTCACTTTTATTTCTCCTTGTTTAATAGGATTTTATATAATCACTATGGAAAATTTTACTTGTTAACAAGTAAAGCATTTGTTTTCTGTTGAAAATCTAAATTCTTCTGTAGCTTTGGTCCAAATACCTGATACATCATTCTACTCCGTACTTAGTTAGAATGCTGACTTTCACTCAGCTTGTTTTTTATTCAGCTTAAGTGCTGTATGATTGGTAGTTATGTACATGTTCAACAGGCGTTTATATCATAGGACTAAAACCCATAGATAACACTATGCCAAAAACATTACTTGCAGTGAGAGCTCTAACTTTGATTTATAAAATAAAAAGAGTAAGTTTAATAAATTAATGCACATTTACAGGTTAAAATTTAGGAAACTCTTTAAGTGGGCTAAAACCGGATTTTTCTAACAGATTACTGAAATCTTCAAGCAAATAATTTCTACATAGAATGTAAATATATATATATGTAATATGTAATTTGTGAATTACTCCTAGAAAGAATGCACCTTAATTCAAGAGAGACCTTTTATATCTTAAACAAAATATAAATATAAATCCTTTTTGGAATATTTCTATTGTCACAGAGGCATTTTGAAGGCAAGAAAGATAACACACTTGTCACTGACAATTCAATTATTGGTTTCAGAATGAAAATGCCACATCCCTTGGATGTGGCATATTCATTTATTTTGTTCAGAATGTTCAGGTTTATAAAGAGCTCGCATTTGTATTATGAGAATATGCAGTATTTAATATCTATAAGGAAACTGGAAATTTGCATTAATACCCTTTTAAAACTTTTATAACTTCTGTGACAGTCTTTGACATGAGATGTGAGCATAACCTTTATGTATTTAAATTTACGACGTAAAGAAACTCAAAACTGAATACATCTTGCCTCTGGAGAGACGAATATTAAAATAATTGTAAAAAAAAGAGTTTACTTTATATCATAGTTGTTAAATTATCATAACCTGGAAGAGCAGTAGTTTAATTAATTCTTGGCCTACGATTGGCCAGAGTTCAATTAAAATCATTAATGTCAGTACTCTAAATGAAAGCTTATTGCTGTGCTAAAATGGTGAAGGTGAAGCAAAAGGAAGGTGATGTGGTGGCGGGGGGTAGAATCTGTTAGCTACATGTAATAACTAAGGTTTTACAGTTTACCACCAATTAGTATTGTTGGCAGCATGCATTTTTTAAAGAGTGCTTCAGTGGTCCATTTATGAGGACGTTTTGTCTAAAACTGTATTCCCTGTAGCTGTAATTTATTCATTGGCTGTGCTAAGAGCTATGGTAAAATGCCAAACAAAATGAAAAAGGCAGAGGGAAATGGATTTCTGTTTACTAAGTGGGGTATTCCTATTTTTAAAGGCAGCTCTTGTCAGCAGATAAACTTCCTAAAACTAAAATAAAATATCCTTCAGGACGTCAAATGCATATGGAGATGGGGGGAATTTGTGAGCTTAAACTTTATCAGAGGATTCTAACTAAAATCTGAGAAGAAAGTTCTGGAAGTATTTTGGGGAGGCACAGAAAGAAGCCAGCCAGAGAGTTTAAAACACAATGCACTTTCGCACCTTACTCCACTGGGATGTGTGCCGTTGGGGCCCTGAGATACCTCACTTGAATATATCCCTCAGAAGAAGCGAAGAGATTGGCCTGGCATTCTCGGGTCCTAGTTCAAAACCACTCTTCTGAACGTGCCTGACTTCTAGCCCCCAAAGCAGCCAAGAGGACACTTGCAAATTCTGAAGTTAAAGTGAACATAAGCATTCTTTCCCTGCCCTGTGTTTTATGTGAAATAGGAGAGTCCTCTTTTCAAAACACTTTTTATGTATTTTCGACCTTTTAAGGTTTCTCCTTTCTGCCTAAATTAATTTCACGAAATTCTGATAACCATTAGTTCAACTATCTGTTATGGGAAGTTCCCAGAAATCAATCATTTTCCTCGTTTATATCAAAAGAAGCATAATGCATTACTAATGATCTCAAATATATCTCCCCATAACATCTAAGGCTATTTCACCATAAATCACAGGTGCTCTCAAAGTGACTATTAAATTCTGTGGGAGCAGGCCTTGCAAGCCAGGGAATGGTACACATCCCACCACAGACCAGGCTGCTTTATAAAGCTTTTCCTCAAACAGTCTAACAAGCTCTTACCGAGTGAAGCTTCTGGTAGAGGCCACACGCGTTGCATACATATCCGCCATTTGCATTCTTTCGCCAGAGAGAGGTCTTTGTGGTCAAGCAATTGGCACAAAAAACGCCCGAGCCTCTACGCCTCTGAAACGGGGGGAAAAAAACACAAGGTCAGGGGTGAGTCACATGATCAGTGGAGTTAGACCAAATCAACCCAGGAGTTTTGTCTTCAGACTGGCAACAATGACAGTATAAAACCACACTGCCCATAATGAGGTCAGGTTCAATTGTGTTTAATAGGCACCACTGATTTTCATTATAATTAACCCTACAGTGATGGATGAGGTGTGTGCAACACCAAAGGCTTTTCACAGAAACAGCTTTAACTTTTTGAACTTTGGGTTTTGTGCCTTTAATGATGGCTCCTAAATGCTGAACCCTAAAGTATACCTTTTAAAAGTGTCACAACAAAAGTCACAAGACAGAATGTGGCAATATGTTTAATATACTTTAGCAAAGGGTTGGGCACAGGCTACCTGAGCTTTAAAAATATACTCAAGCGTGGAATAAAGGCGGCATGGAAACCATTTAAAATTAAGCCCGATTTGTGTCTTTTTGGGGGGCATTCATGTAACACAAGTATTAAGAGAATATCACAAACTCAATTCTAGTTTGGGGGGTTGCAATGGTAAACTTCGGAAGAGAACACCGTCTATTTCCCAAAGCTGAGGGGACCAGTCGGAACTTGCTGTCAACTCGAAGTACAGTATTACTGAGAGCGCTTAAGAGGAGCCCGCTGAAGCCAGACAAGCTAGTCCCATCAATGGCTATTTATTTCATTTGCCTCAGACTTGGAAATCACAAGCGTTTCCGAATACAAATTGATTTTAGTGGGCTGAATTCTGTAATCACCAGATTCAAAAATAATCTAAGAATATTTAAAAGTAGATAATTAGTATTGCTTGTTCCATTCTTGCTATCAAGTAATGATTCCATTAAACCCACTGAAACAAAAGTCAGGCTGTGTTTGTAGGCGCAAAGACTAACAGGCAGGAAATGAAATGCTCCTGCTGCAAGAAAAAAAAAAAAGACGGCCTGAATTGCAACTTCACTCTCCTTTCTCTAGGAAGCGAAGCCTTTAATGATAAAATATGCACGTTAGATAAGGAGTGCAAAAAATGTTGCTGGAACCCAATTTTATTATAAATTTAAAATTACAAATACCGTAAGTCAAAATTTCAGGGATTCATAAAATTTAGGCAATTTATTTAACTTGAGTCCATACTGTAGACCAGTGGTATCCCTGCCAAGAAAATACAATGGTTATAATTGTACTCTGATACATTTCAAATGGAAAGCTTTCTGCAGACATAATTTTGGCTTCAAGACTGGAACACTTTCTTGGCATTGAAAGGGCATTTGATTCATCGGGTGTTTCACAATGTATCACTAAAAAGACCTGGTGAGCAGCCAGTTCCCTATAGGGTAATTTTTCCATCCAGATGCAAGTGCTATCAGAGGCCCTCGTCAGCTAAACTAATTATGATCTTGCAATTGCTGATGCCTGCTCACTCTAACATTCGACATCCTCCATTAATCATCAATACAAGGAAAATGAATGAAACGTAAAGAAATGAGGGCTGGTAAGCTGCACAGCCATAAAAATCTGAAATGAGAGCAATAATTTAACAAGATCGGGGGAATGTTTTTAGTGCGCACAAAGTCAGGCTAACAATTGCCCTTTTCAACCAAGAACACGATTTCATTAGTGTAGCAGGTCGTGCTACTTTAGGTGATGTAATAAAAGCTAGATTTTTCACAAAGATAATCTCTGGCTCCCCTTTTAGTCCCTCTCTGCCCAAGTCAGGACCAGGAATGAATGCATCACGATTAGAGCAATGGCAAATGTTGGGTGTCAGTCCACAAGTCCCAGTTGGGACCTCCTGCAAGAGTAGAGACCACTCCCTCCTAAAAATCAATGAACTATTAGATGCTATGTTTATCAAACATTCTGGGGCCCCCTTTATCTGAAGTAAGCTCGGGAGCCTAGTTAGGTTATAATTGTGAAACTTCCCTGGGGCCACGCCATCTTTTTCCTAGATCTAAATAACACGTTTGGCAAATAAACACCAACTTGATCCACATAAAGGCAATGTAAATGTCCATTTGGAAACTAACCCACATATATGGCTGAGGCTCAAATCTGAATGTGTAACCATTCACTCCAGCCTGCTTTTCTTTCCTTATGCCCTGGGTGCTTGACACAGCATGCCAAAGTGGGTGTAATCCTGGTTTCTGAGAGCGTTTCAATACTTGCACAATTTTGTGCTTAATTCTCTTGCAAAGAAAATGCCCTTCATTAGTTAGAGGGAAAGTCCTAAAATTATAGCACTGGTTTCCACAGGCATATCCTGCTTTAAGCAGCACTTAGGCTCCACTAAAGAGGTGTATTTTGGGAAAACTACATCTTATTTTAAAGACATCAGGGGTACTCTGGATTCATTTACCCAGAGTCAGTATAGCATGGAGGCTAAGAATCAGATTTAGGAGTCAGACTACTTGTATTCAAAACATGTCTCTGCCTTTTGCCAGGTGCAACTTTAGGCAAGTTACTTAACCTCTCAAAAGCTTCAATTTCCCCATCTTTAAAGTGTGAGCTGCTGTAATATGTGGGCAAATGGATGCAATTAAAACAGTTCCAGGGATGTAGTAAATACTCAGTAAGTTAGCTATTTGTAAAAGGGATACAATTATATTTTTTGGTAAGAGAAAAATACTTGGCTAGCTTTGTTTTCAACTCCTTAATCTATTTTTTGAGCATTATAGAGATGCTTAAGACACACAGTTGGATATTATCAAATGTATTTCATTTGTGTTAGTCTTATCAAATATGAGAATGGAAAGTTGAGTCAGAGTGAAATATATAGGTGTTCACACCTAGAATTCAATAGAGCGTACTTGTGTGGGGGTGGAAAGTAGGAGGGAGGTGAGAAATATTTCACATATTAAGTTAACTCCCATCTAAACACATTTATCGCTTTGGTAAGCACTGTACCACTTTAGTTTTGGTGCATTTGGAATTTCTGGAAGCAGCAGAGAAGGTGGCCTATGTGGATAGTATCCTTAAACTGTGTGACCACAGAATCGTAACTATGCCACATCTCTCTCAACTACAACACAGATGAGAGCCCTGACCTGGTCACTCTGTGTGTAATGTAACCTGGCTGGACACAGTAAAGCATCTTTTTGAAATTATCAACATCCTTAGCCCAATCACGTGTAGAGAAGCAGTCTGTTGCCAAAGGAAGGCGGAATAGAAGTCTCTCTTGCCCCACTTTTTAAAAAACAAGCTTGCCCTTGTTAAAGAAAAAGAAAGGCACCGAAGACTTTATTCCATTCATAGTTTATCATGCATGACAGAGTTTTAAAATATTTTGTCATTCTCCTTTAGACTGTGTGTGTTAAGGACGGAAATCATGACTCCTAATGGTCATCAAATATTCTAAGTAACAAGTACCTAGGACAGTGCTCTGTCTTGAGAGACTAAACATTAATAAGGTTGAAAATAATCTACTGGAATTAAAAGAAAAGAAGGAATCTCACCTGCTATCATTTTTTATCATTAATAGTCACTCCTATTTTTGAAAAATAGTTTTAAAAAAATATTCCTTCTAAATGTCATCCATTTGGATTGACAAATTTACTTCCAGTTGGGCAAAGATGACTAATGATGTTGTAGAAAAGAAACAAGAGAAAAGGAAATCAAGACTGTTCCAATCCTATAATTCACACTTATTTTGGAGGAACTGTTGAAGCTAGGTACTTGCTAGATCTTGGCAATACAAAATCAGGTAGAACAAGACTCCAATTCTCCTTTATACACATCATTATGGTCATATGTTGTCATTGGTTCTATATGTGCACACGTGTGTTTAAATAATAAGATTACTTCTCCTTTTCTACAAGCTGTTTTTTTTTAAATTTTTATTATTTTTTTGAGAGAGAGAGAGCGGGGAGGGGAAGAGGGAGAAGGAGAGAGAGAATCTGGAGCAGACCCCCTGCTGAGCACGGACCCAGACATGGGGCTTGATCCCACCACTCTGAGATCATGACCTGAGCCAAAACCAAGATCCAAAGCTTAACCAACTGAGCCCCCCAGGTGCCCCCAAACTGTTTAAGAGTTAATAATATTTTGTATCTCCATGACATTATGCAGGAGAGAGGAAAATCGAGTCACAAAGATAAGGTCCCTTCTGGAGAGTTCATGAGAGGAATCCGTAGGTAGGGGATGACACCACTGGCGTACCTGAGGGGCCTATTTAGCATGATTCTTACGCTCCTCTCAGGCTTGTATATCTGAAGCCACAGACCCACGGCATTCTCTGCCCTTGGACTTCTCCAAGTGCCCCTTCTACTTCTTTGTTGCCTTAACTGAAGGAAAGAGTGAGGGAAGGTGGGCCCCAAACCCAAATCTACAAGAAAATCACCTCAAATGAAAATTTCTAAAGAGAAAATTCCAGAAGCAACAATTCAGGAACCTGTTTTTGTTTTTTTTAACTTCAAGTTTTATAGCTTGCTTAGTAACTTTTAGGTCACATTTGTGTTGTCTCTACATAATTTCTGTTGGCTGATAATTTGCTGTGTGAAAAAGTAAGGGTGGTGATAGAAATGGTTAATTGCAAGGATTTTTGAGGCCAGCCAAAGGCGAGCAAGTATTTTTCAGTGATAATTACTGAGAATTCTTGGGGATCATTTGTTTCCTTTCCACGTTTCAAATGTATTATGACCACAATACTCATTTTCAAAACAGCAATTTAAGTGATGAGTTTGGACAATCATCCATGTTAGGCTTTGAAATAGAAAATGACATACACATCTTTTAATATAAGTACACTTTAAATCCAACATAATTTTTTCCCCCTGCTTTGAAGGGCAAGAAGTGTAATGACTAAAATAACGGATCAAACAAAAAAAATTTAATTTAGATTCACAGCTAACCACTGTGCAGTATCACTATCATCAAATTTTTCTGAAAGCTTCTGGTTCAAATTTTGCTTTTAGGGGGCTTAATTCTTTAGTCAGTTATAGATCAGCGGGTTGAGCCTTGGCACATGTACTGGTGAGCTCAGATGTGTCTTAAGAAA